CAGGGTAGGTTTCATGCTGGGCAACACAATTTATGTGTAGCAGCAGTAATTGGCCATGCATTTGCCCTTTACGTAAACAAACACACACACTTCCATATTTGTGTATATGTGCGTGTTTGTCAAGCAAGCTTCACCTGCGAAAAGATTAAGTGGAGCAAGACATTATACAAAATGATGATGAGAGGTGACAGTTGACAGTTATGTGTCAATAGAGTGTGTGTGTGTGTGTGTGTGTGTGTGTGTGTGTGTGTGTGTGTCACATGGCCATTTTGATATTGATTTCATTAGAGCAGCAAAGTGTTGTTTTTGTTGCTCTGTAATCATCTAGTGTTCCTGTTTCTCTTCTTCTTTTTGCCTTTCAGCTTACCTCCTCTCCTCTTGAACTCTCTACCTGACTAATATGTGTAAAATCTGAATGTTGTTTCGGTCACCGTCATCATCTTTTAACCCAATATTCTTAAGTCTTGATAAAATGTCCATTACGCATACACATACACTAACTGCATGTACACAGAGCATGTTAGGAAGCTGTGCAGCGAACTGTTTACATCCTGTTGGTTGCTGAGGCGTTTCAGCAAATATTAATAGGGTTAAAGGCTGATTGAGTAACCGCACAGAGTTACTGATAGTCAGATGGAAGGGGAGAGGAGCCGAGTAAGAGAGACTTTAACTTTAGCCATGGTCCAATGAAATGGCTCTCAACAAACAAGAAGAAAAACAACATTATCTACAACAACAACAACACCCCCCCCCCACACACACACACACACACACACACACACACACACACACACACACACACACACACACACACACACTTCCTCACAGGGTCAAGTGGTGATTAAAATGACATGAAGTCTAATAGTGTTTTCTCATCATTACATGTGAGAACAACACATAACGCACATCCAAAAACACACAAAGGATCCTGTTTAGAAGAAGCCACAGTCATTTTCTCAAAAGCGTAAACTGCAAATTTACTGTTCCTTTGTTTAACGGTCCAGGCAATTCAAGGTTTGGAAAACAGTCAATAAGTCAGTAAATCATGTGATTTAGAATGTTTTAAATGGGACAACAGCTGGCTTTTATTTCTTCACATCTATTCAGGTGGAGGCGTCAAATAAGCTCGCTGAGTTGTCTGCCTCTTCCTGCACTGTGTTTATCTTTATTAGTGTGACTTTTTGATTTTGCGAAATAAAACAACGTTATAACTTTAGTCTCTCACAAGGGCCTTAAATGAATTCAAGGGTTGTTAGTAGGTGTGTACAATGATATGCTGGGTTCATGTTATATGCTGTGATATGAGGTTTATGGTTTATGCTGTGATATGAGGTTTATGGGTTATGCTGTGATATGCTGGGTTCATGTTATATGCTGTGATATGCTGGGTTCATGTTATATGCTGTGATATGCTGAGTTCATGTTATATGCTGTGATATGCTGAGTTCATGTTATATGCTGTGATATGCTGAGTTCATGTTATATGCTGTGATATGAGGTTTATGGTTTATGCTGTGATATGCTGAGTTCATGTTATATGCTGTGATATGAGGTTTATGGTTTATGCTGTGATACGCTGGGTTCATGTTATATGGTGAGTTCATGTTATATGCTGTGATACGCTGGGTTCATGTTATATGCTGTGATATGCTGGGTTCATGTTATATGCTGTGAAAGCAGCTAAACATTGTCTGAGTGTGCAGGCAGCAGTGGAGGGGGAAGCATTGCTCTCTGCAGGACATTTAACAAGTAGTTATTGCGGACTAAAAGGGTCTGTAATCAATGTTATTTCCAGAAGAGAGTACCAGTAAGCTGACACTCCTCTGCTGTTCTTTTCTCCAGTCTTTCCATCTGTTCTCTCCTTCTCCTTATAATCATCCTGTCCTTGCATCCCCTCTTTGCCTCATCTCCCATCTTTGCTGTTTTCACCATTTTCCATTGTTCCGTTAACCCTCTACTGTACTGCCTCTCCTCTTGTTGTCTTCAAGTGTTCTCTCCTGTCTTTAAATATCTCCATTTGACCTTTTTCGACTCTACTCCTCTCTTTCAAACTCTGCTGGTATTGTGTCTCTTCTTCCCCTCTTCTTTCCTCTGTACTCCTTTTTCTGCCCGTGTAATTAGAAGAGCAATAGAAGCCCATCTGGTGGACAGCATGCTATTTAAAACAAACAGCAGCCTACACGCATAACTGATTTCTTCACAAACACATACACAAATGCATGTGTGAGTGCAGAGGCTTTCCGGTAAGTGCACACCCAAACTATTGCATTAACAATAAAAGGCCTATTTAATCAGCTTCTCTATTACTCAAATGAAATCTCTAGAATAAAAATGTTTCTTTTCTTTTTCTTTTTAGACAATGATCAACTTAAATATCAGTATTTTTTAGGTTTTCTTTACAAATGATTTGACTTAATAACGTTTTTAGAAATGCATATTCTATATGCTTGTGTCAAACTCACCATCTCAGTACGGAACCATATCCATGCTGGCAAGAATACGTGTATGTAGACCAATCTTAAACAACTGCAGACAATGCAGTTTCACGTGTAAGATTAATTATTGTGCTTTCATGGATTTGTTTATCGTCTTGGTTTTAACATCACATTTATGAAAATGTGTTCCTATTATCAGTGTTGTTATTCAGCTTACCTGAAGTCCCAAAAACACAAAGAATAAAAATTGTGCACACAACTTATGAACATGTGTGCCCAAGATAATTATATAATGTGCAAACAACATATATTGTGCACACAAGTTAGATGATAACTTGTGGGAACAGGATAATTATATCATTTATACAGCATAATATCTTCTTTGCGCTAGATTACTATCTTGTTCCCATAAGTTATCATGTAACTTGTGCGCACAAGAAATATTTTCGTTACTTGTTGGGACTTCAGGGGCTCCGTAGAAGTGCTTGTAAAATATATGAATAATTTATATTTTTTTGCTTATTGTCAACACTTGACTTATTGTCGACTTGAATAATCTTCAGACGTGTCTCTCTTTAGCTATTGATAGCTTGTGATATTCCCTCTTTTGCTGGAGGTGTGACAACCAGCAAAGAGAAAGTTCCGTTTTGGCAGGTCAAATATACAACCCTTCAGGTTTAAAAATAGGAGTGCTGTAGTTCATGTATTTTAATCAGAGAGAAGATGGGTAATTTAAGATTTTTGTGTCAGCTCCAATCTTCATTTTGGGGCAAAATGAACTTAGTATGTCCTCCAACCGTCCCCATTTGGCTGCTAGTGAAGATCCACTCTGTTACATAGATGTGAAGATGTGAGGGGCCATTTCACTACTAACTGTTCCAGGATCTCTGTTATTTGGTAGATTAGCTCCCCCTGTTGGTTGATTTTAAAAACACGTAATTCTATGGAAGTTAACCTTAAAAAGATCTTCAACTATGATAATAAACAATCAGTGAGATCTGAAAATTGTGGTATCCACATAACTCTGTAATAAATGAAAAATGTATTGAAAAAATTGATATGATGTATCTGACTTTAAATTTCAGTATCATTTAATTGTTAAGCTATGATGCTCTGACATTTTAAAAGAGCTAAAACGCTGGCAGGAACAGTAAACAACTTTGCATGTCTTCATTTTCTAACTGCTCCCCCCCCCCCATCATCATTTCCTGTAATTACAACCTCAACATAAACACAGACAACTTCCTGAAGGAGAAATAACTTCTTATATAAACATTAGCATAATCTTTCAATAATTTAATCAGACTGCAGAACAAGACATCCCTCAAGCAGAGCAGTGCATTATTAATAACTTCATGCCTGCAGCACATGTCAGAGCAGGTGTAGGCGTAGAAGCCGGGCAGAGAGCAGCGCTGCAGGCTGGAGGAAGTGGTTACAACCACTCGCACAAGAAACAAGCCTGACATGGCTCAAACTTCTTCGGGCGGTAAAACTCTGACACTGACACTTAAATAAAAGTCTGATGGAGCTGGTTAACACTGTGGTCAAGGTCTATCAGCCTGTGAGCTGAGCAACCTTTTCTGTGTCTTTTTAAAACCGTTTCTTTAAGTTGATTCACAAACCAGGAGTTGGATATTTTGATTTGTGTATTCAGTACAAAATCCACAACACACACACACACACGAGGACACACACCCCATCCATACACCTCACTTTATGCCACCTTGTGATTAAACTGCAGCCTTGGTTTTTAGTTCACAGAGAGAGAAAAAAAATGTTCCTTCGGGATCCTGCTACACAGAACATCATAAAACTACATGAGACTAAAGAAAACCATTTAATACTTCACAGACATTACACAGGAATACAATGCACATGTGAGCCCAGGTACACACTGTGTATAAATGAACTGGACAGAGTAAATAACTCGCTGTGCAGAGAAAATAATCAACATGTTCCAACTGCTGTGGGCGTAAACATGGGCTATTTCCAGCCCATGGGCTCTTAAGATGAGCATGAGGAAATACTTTTTTCATTTATCTGTATGAAAATGCTAACTCTCTCCAAAACTCTGTTTAATCGTTCTTGGGCAGATGTTTATACTAATTGAGAAAGCTTAGATGAACTTTTCTTTAAACCAAATGTGCTATAATTATCTGTACAAAAATTAGACCTTACTGATTCATTGTTGAACAATAATTTTTCAAAAGAACAAAACGATGATACTTCAAGGATTGTTCCTTTTGGGGATTTATATCTAAACCGAAAGAAAGAAAGAAAGAAAGAAAGTACTTATTTGAGAGCAAGCACAAAAGAGAAATGTCAGAGAGGACGTTTTTTGTCAAATGTCAGAGAGGAGAGGGAAGAAGGAAACCACTGCTGCTTAGTCAAATAGAGATGTTGTTTTGCAAAGTGCAAATAGTATAACTTGCAACACCAGAACCCAAGAGAGACATGTTTTTACAGAGGATTCAAGTCTCAGGTAGTGGAACTTAATTCAGGAGTATAGAACGGCATTTCCAATATCAGCTTTAAAGGGTAAAACTGTAGAGTTTGTGATCCTACCTGAGCTGGCCCCTCGGAGCCTGCACATCACCCGGGAGCGAAATCCTGAGGTGTCACTGTGAGAGCGGTGCCTGGGGAGAGGCCACAGCTGATGGAAAAGCTTCATCTCCCGGTAAGTGTCCCCTTTTTCCTCCATGGTCGAGGAGAAATGCTTAACAGGATAAGAAACCTGACATATGTGAATGGTGAAACTCATCAACATCCAACACCCCTCTCAGACTCACTCACAATTTTTCCTGCAACAGAGGGGCAGAGAGAGAGAGAGAGAAAGAGAAAGAGAGAGAGAGAGAGAGAGAGAGAGAGGGGGGGGCAGAAAGAGAGAGAGGAAGAGAGATGGGGAGAGTAAATAAGAGAAAGTTTGTGTGTGTTCCTGTGTAAACGCCCAATGCCTTGCCTCTTGTGGACAGTTTTAATGACTGTACGAAATTGAATCAGTCATGCAGGCCTAAATAGCTATGCCCCATATCTGACCAACTGTTTAACCATTTCAACTTTTATGAAGTTTGACTTCAGCCTAAAATCATGCACAACAGGATGCTGGAAAATATATGCCTATACTTTAGAATTAGTATTTTATGAGGCTACTTATGAGTTTGCGTCACATCACCTCCAACTGGGTTTTTTTTTCTATGATAATTTGTCCCTTATAGTCAGCTATATTTTCATGGTGTCAAAGCGTGTTCCATATTTTCATGCAGGAATACACTGAACAGGACTTGTTGCAAGAATATAAGCAATCACCTCATTCTGACATAAATATGTAGCTTTCACATTTTTAAATACTAGTAATGAAAACAGTAGGCCTATTGTTGAGTTGAATTAAAGCCTCATTACTACACAATGGGAAAATATTAGTACTGTAGACAGACCTAGGTGGCTGAAGGTACTAACCATTAGATGTCGCTAAATTACCGCTCTGGTTGAGCTGCTCCTTGTGTTAACGCCTCACCACCTAAGAGCTGCTATAAGACAGAGTTCTCACTCTGATTTATTTTCCCAGCAACCAGTTCTCAAAAATAATTTGAAACATGTAGTGTTCTTTCTCTTTTTATGGGCCTATAAGACCAGTTAAAACCTAAATGGCTTAAGAAAACAGTTCACAAGTTCAAATCATGCATCCAAAATCGTATCAAGCCTTATTAAAAGCACTAACGTACTGATAAAATCAAAATATTCTCATTGTAGGCCTACCAATAGCCTAATAAAAGTAGGGCCACAAGTGTGTGGACTAGCACATTTCAGAATCATACATACAAGGCATTGTCTTTGGATTTATAGTGTTGCAGCTGGTGAGCCAGATTTCTGATTTCAATTAATTTTTTAGATATTGCTTGATAGGCCTATAGCATATTTGATTGGTTAATTTTTTTTGTATTAATACTCTAGGCTTGTGAAGAAACCATTTATTAAGGCTGTTAATACAGCCTATTGGATTGCAAAGTAGGAATGTCTGCCTCTTAAAGCTTAAAGTAGCTGAATGTGTAAAGTAAAGGGCTATAAGTAGGCCTACCTAAAAATGACACCCCATTATTAGTATAGAAAATGTAAGTCAGAAGCACAATTTTTCTATTTGTATGCGTTGTTTTGCTGAGGGCTGCTAGTGAAGGAGAATAAATAAAAGAAAAAAGGAGAGGAAAGAATGATAAAATGTTGGGAGCATAATTCCTAATTATCATCCATAAAGGTGAATTAAGCGATAATTTTAACCAACTTCATCTAACCAGGGAGTGATCATCCTCTTAATATGCGATCTATGCCCCACACTCAGAAGCAGCGCTGGAGCTCCTCCGTCTTGGATCAGTGGAGATGGGCTGAAGCAGACAGCAGCGACCCGACGACACCGAGACCTACAGCCGCTGAGTGCAGCAGTTACAGAAGGGAGACATTGGGTAAGCGTTAACTAAACTGGTTGACCATAATAAACTCATCTCTAGCTTCCCACAGTTAAACGCGGCTGTCATTTAGGAGGCATGCTAAGACGTGTAGCCGATGTGAGCTAGGTGTAACGGTGAACGTGGATGAAAAACTTTTAGACCGTCCGTAGATTATAAATGAGTGCGTGCCACCGACGTGCTTACACCGGATACAGTCGTGTGCTTCACGGTGTTAGGTTGGTTAATATGTAGGATTTAAAATTGTTCTAGTAAATGTGTGGCTAAGTCTGTGGTTGGAAGTAGTTGCTAATCGCAGGCTAACCTGAGCCCAGTTAACTTCAGGCCAACGAGCCAGAGTCTCTTGATGCTGCTAACTCAACGCTTGTTGTGGTTATTTGAGGATTTCACAGCTAGTTTTTAAGGTTTCTCGTTTGTGTGTAATTTAATGTTTAAGCAACTCGAATTGGTGCTACGAACTACATCAGTAGGTGACCACCGTTACACCAAGAGCATCTTTATGTTGCTCTGCTCTTCACGATAAAAGCAGCTGTTGTAAACAGTACCCTGCCCGTCCAAGTTACTGTGAAGGCCACAGCCTGTCACAACCCACTGGCATGCTTTATGTCTTGCTTCAAGAGCCAAACTATGATTAGAAATTACTCTTTTTATTTTTAGCTCTACTGGAAAGACCTGTCCCTCATTCGACCTTCAGTCACAGCCCTTTTCCAACATCCTCTCTGGCCCAGAACTAGAGATTATTTTACCATGCTAGTGTTATGAGATGAGAGATGAGATTCAACTTTATTGTCATTACACATATGCAAGTATAGAGTAACGAAATGAGGTTTGGCATCTCACCAGAAGTGCAAGAATCTGTGCTATGTACAAGTAATTACAAAATTTACAGATGTAGACTAAAAGTGAATTATTGGGTATATATGGATGGCTGGATTAATGGGATGCTATAAATATAAATACATGCTATCAATACAAGTATATTCTTAGGATTATGATATACAGATTAAGGCGCAGTGAGCATGCTATACTAGATTACAGATGATATACAGAATATGGACATATTGTACAGTTATGGATGATACACTCTTATAACCTCAACATCTGAACTTGCTGTGCAGGTCATCCATAGTAGGCCTAACTTGGATAGATATGCATTAAATATGTAAGCCTTCTTGCTCAGCTGTTTGCTATTTCCAGCTGGTGTGTGGCTTTTGATGATTTGGCTGTGGTCTAGGTTCACGAAAGAAAAATATTGACCCTCTCCTGAGCTATCCAGCTGGTCCTTCCTCTTGACTTCTCGTGTCTGTGTGACCGGCTGGCTGTCGTAAGAGCAGAGCCTAACAACAAATGTAAGGTGTCACTTAACTGGGGGAATGTTTGACATCTTTCATCGTTGAGTCTTAACTAACCTTCTGAAGAGTAAGACCCTTGAAGTAGCTTTGTATGCCGTGTACTGGTTGCTACTCTGCATTTTCTTTTTATGATGTAAGTGCATCCCTCTTACCTCTTTATTTCCAGTTGAACATAAGCTACACAGGATGTTTTGCTCCTTAACCTTTTCATATAAGCATAAATAGAAAGTTTTATAGATGTACTCCAGCCATAATAATGTTTATAAAGTCGTTTTGTGTTACCCTGATTTCAGAACTCAAACGGGGTGCCAGGAATACTTAAAAAAGGAACTTTTAAACTGCGTGTGCTTGTTGTGATTAGAGTGGATGGATTCTGTATTTAGTCCTTAAAGTAAAGAGGAAGTTTGACATTGAATATAGGTTAATACAATGATTAAATACGAATTGGTATCATCAACGTATTCTGTTATCACAGGTCATAAGATGGAAAAGCCACATTGTCACATTCATTCATTCATTACCGTCACCCAGAAACCTGTGGTGCGCACATGTCATTTGTTTTTTATGGTCAAATGTGAAAGCAAATATTGGCAGCCTGGGAGTTTTTTTTTTTATATATATGTTTGTTTATTTGGATCCCATTAGCTCCAGCATAGTGGGAAGCTATTCTTCCATTGGTTTGACAATGTGACAAAACAATTTACATATCCACATTTTTTATCACAAAACACAAACATTACAAAACATACAGTCATTCTACAATAATGAAAATACAATATTATTGTTAACCATAATTTGGGAGTGTTTTTTATTCCAACATCACTCTGAATGTCACTGAAGGTTGAGATGATGTTTTTTTTTTATTTTTTTTTAGGAGGAATAAAACAACCTCCAGTAGCAGATATCAAGCATTATAACACCTAATATTTTCTTCGACCTATATCCCTAAACCAGTCATCAGCTATTTGAGTCAAGGTAGTCGCTGTTTTTCTCTACATGCATGCTGAAAATGTGTGGACATCATAACATGGACATGGAAACGTCTCCTGTTAAATGTTGCCCTACACATTCCATTGTTTGTTTTTTAGGGTAATATTTCGTGTTACAATTTCAACTTCAATACAGTTACTGGTATACAAAAATATTCCAAGTCCACTCTCCTGGCTCGGGTTGAAATGATGGATATTAAACTTCAACTTGAATGTTTATTTCAGAAGCAAACAAACAAGGCAGTACTTCTAGTTCCGGGTTTCAAAAACTGATGTCAGCCAGTAAAGTGTCATTAGAATATTTCAACAACATAGGGTATATCATGGTTGCCCCAGTGTTCAACCATGTCAGGATTTAGTTTTGCATTATCATTTACATGTACTCTGCATAACTGAAATACGTAGGCGTGCGCCTACGTATTTCATTTACAGACTATCTAAACTCAACAGAGACGTCTCTCAGTCTCGGCATGACAATCACTGTTTGTGTGCGCCTCTGACAGTGCTGCTCCTTTTTTTTTTTTTTTTCCGGGCCTGTGTGTCAAATGAAATGACTCGTGTAGATGCAGGCGCTGACTGTGATGCTCTCGGCGCAGAATCCATGCACAACAACCAGGTCTTTTGTCCCTGTTTTGCCCCCATCCACCCACACAGTCCTCATAATGTCGTGGAGAAAGAGCGTCTTTATCTGTGCTTTCCAAAGGCTCATCTCAGTCACATATTTTAGGTTCAGTACAAAAAGGACGGCATCTTCTGCAAGCTAATATGACTAGAAACGCAAAGTAACGGCAACACATAGTCTTAAATTGACACATTTACACTCTCAAGACTGAGCAGAAGTACTGTAACCATTTACTTTTTTTGTTTACTTTAAGTCACCTGTAGATCTCAGGGAGGTGTCAGACCTCAGCAGGTTAAATATTGCACATTTTGGTCCATGAAGCTCCTGGGGGTGTTTGTGTGTTTGTGTGTGTGTGTGTGTGTGTGTGTGTGTGTGTGTGTGTGTGGTGTGTGTGTGTGTGTGTGTGTGTGGTGTGTGTGTGTGTGTGTGTGTGTGTGTGTGTGTGTGTGTGTGTGTGTGTGTGTGTGTGTGTGTGTGTGTGTGTGTGTGTGTGTGTGTGTGTGTGTGTGTGTGTGTGTGTGTGTGTGTGTGTGTGTGTGTGTGTGTGTGTGTGTGTGTGTGTGTGGTGTGGTGTGTGTGTGTGTGTGTGTGTGTGTGTGTGTGTGTGTGTGTGTGTGTGTGTGTGTCTAACATGGCTTAGCTCGGTGACTTTTTTTTTTTTTCTCTATTTGACCATGCTCAAGTGGGTGCTCAGCTGTGAAGGGAGGGAGGGAAAAGAGGGGGCTGGCCAGAGGCTTGCCAAATCGGATGAGAGAGCAGTTGGGGAGGAGATCGCACAGTGTGAGGGGAGCGGAATGCAAGCGAAGGGGAAAAAAAGGAGAAAAAGAGAACGAGCCAGGCTGGGAGGAGGTGGAAGAGAGAGTGACAGTGTGTTACAGGAGGAAAAAGGGACTCTTAAGAGGGAGAGAGAGAGTGGGTGAGGCTGATATAAAAGGATAAAGGCGGGGTTGTGGTTTCTGTCACATGATCCTCTGGCAGGCTGTAGCCTAGTGAGCTCCAGGTGGCAGAAAGAGCAGAGATACAGTAGAGAGAAAGAGAAAAAAAAAAAAAGCGGGAGTGGGACATGCTAGCAAAGGCTCACCACAAAGACAACTGAAACACCTCAATGGCTCCCTTCTACTCCTCACACGCCTGTCTTTCCACTTCCTAACTCTGTCCTTTAGGAATCCTTCCCAGTCAGAGTTGCCCGGCGCCTTTCTCCAGTCCCGGCCCCAGCAGGCCAGGGAATGTCCCGGCGGCGAGATGCCTTACGTGGACCGACAGAACCGCATCTGTGGCTTCCTGGACATAGAGGAGAACGAGAGCAGCGGCAAGTTCCTGCGTCGGTACTTCATACTGGACACACAACAGGGGAGCTTGGTGTGGTTCATGGACAACCCACAGGTAATTACACAGCGCTATGTTAGCTTAGCTCGTAGCACTATTTCTGGATGAACAAAGTCCTCGAGGTAACTGCGAAAGCGAATGTGTATTATGTGGGTAAACAATTAACATGCAGCTTCAACCAAGCTAGTTAGTTATCCATGTGAATGATCTGTGCTCATGCAACTGCAGGCTACCGGAAAACACAGAGCTAAATTCAGGCTAAATGTTTCACCGCCAGTGAGCCTAGCAAGGTTTTAGGAATACGTATTATGTTATTTTAGTTGGAGCACATATTCCAGGCAAAGGGGAGGTCCAATGTCAATTATGTCTTTTTTGTTGAAGCTAATTGCAGATATTTGTGTATATTGGTAAAAAGGAGCATCAAATAAAACCATTGTATGCCCCTTAATATGATTTATGATTTGTTCTCGTTGGTTGAGTCTGTATAGTGATGCTGATGATGTCACTACATGGACTGTGCTCACTGATACATTAACCCAGTGCTTATCCTTTTCTACCCTATGACCCTGGGTGTCCCAGTTAATATAGTGTGTGTGTGTCTTTTCTTGGTTTATCTAGCATGCTGATTTGGAGATGCTGTATTTGTAAGTGCGCTGTTACATGAAGTATTCATAGATCATGTAGCACAGGAGAAACTTTGAATAATTCAGGCAGTCCCTTTCTTTTTATGGGTTTAGAAAGCTAAAATTTTAATGATGTTAAATCTGGATCCCCTAGTTTCAGAGGCACAACAAGGCTCTGAAATGTACTATGGGGTAGAAAATGTACAGCATTTACTCTTTTAATGTTGACTTGATTTTTCAGAGCTTGATCCTCACTATCCAACTGATTTAGACTTAAGGTTAATTTTAGTTTTCTTTTTATGCATATTTAGTTCTTTTACCTTTTTCCCTGCAGAATCTGCCTCATGGTGCAGACTGTGTCGGCTCGCTAAAGCTCACCTACATCTCTAAGGTAAGGGGAAATATAACAAGCTGAAGCTGAACTGACACCAGCATGAGATCATAATGTTTAAACAGAATGTATTTACTGTATATTGTTGAAGCGAGAAGCTTACATTTAACCTTTGTTCTCTGCCAGGTCAGCGACGCCACAAAGCTGAGGCCAAAGGCAGAATTCTGCTTTGGTAAGAAAACATTTATTCTCACAATCTTTAAGTTTGAATTTATCAGTCTTAAGTTACTTCTGAAAACTTTACAGGATGTGTAAAGTGAAAGATTGAATGATTTCCCTTACATTTTATTGTATCTTTTCTGTTGCATGGTGTAGCTGATGGGTCTTATATGTTGGAATGTTAAAAAAAAATCCTGCAGTGCTTTGCAAACCTCAGCTTCACCTATTGACCAAGTTTAGTATACTAATATAACCTTAGGAAGCAATGTTTGCTGTCCTTTTCTGCCCTCTAAACTTGGTCAAGACCTCCACATATTTTTTCCTCCGTTGACCCGCCAACCTTGGTCAACAGTCACTGTTTAGCCAACACACAAAGATGCAGGAGGCTGCAGCAGTTGATGGTAGGGGTTTTTGATGAATCAGGTTGTTGTTGTTTTTTCTTTCTATTTAGTTTTTCGTCTCAGATTTAGACGGCATAGATGTTTGGCCACCTGGCATGTTGTCTTGGATCACGTGTTTGAATGTTTCAGGGTAAAGCACTGAGAAATAACTTCAACCAGTCTTGTTTTTGTAATTGTTTCCATATTTTATCGCAGGGAAGCTTTGACTAGACTTTAGCCAGTATTTCCTCATAAAATTACAAACAAAATGTGTAAAATTCCAAAAATAATTTACCGGTAAAAGAAAAAAAAAATCAAACAACAAAGATTTTCCAATTGACAGACTGTGCAATTTAAAGGCTTTTGTTTCAATCCTCCACATGTATGCAAGTTCAATGATTCTAAATCTTATCATGGTGCTCTGTAATGCCAGAAAATAATCAGTTTGTCCCACACATTGAAACATGTTAGACATCAGAATGTATTGTTGTTATAAACACTCAGTTGAAGGAAAAGCCTGATAGCTTAGTTGAGAGAGGGCATGAGGAATCATTGAACTACGGGGATAATGGCATTTATTCAGAAGGTCTTCTTCTAGTGTTCCACTTCACACAACAGAAATAGGCGTGTAACAAATTAAAAAAAGTGCAAACCTTGGCTCATCTCTCACCCCCCCCCCCCCCACAGCCTTATTAATACATTGTGATGAGGGTTTAAATAAAGTGACATAAACAAACGATCGCAGTACCTCTGATACAAGTGTCACAAAGACTGAGGGGAGAGGGATTTCTGAAGTTATTTGATCACCTGGCAACCAGTTCTGAGTCTGACTGATCAAACTAGCAGCTTTCCCCTGTCCTTCTTAGGCCCACTTATCCAACTTGTAAATATTTTGCAGGAAAGACATTGTTCTGGATATTTGTCCTTGTCTTCTGTCCCTGTGTGATCAAAACAGGAATACAGATATTGTACAAAAATGAACCATCATCAGATTATTTAGCAGTAAGCCTCTTATTCCCTGTTATGTCTTACTAGTCCTTCTCCTCCTCTTCCATGTGCTTCAATGGCAGGAAACACTGCCGTGTTCACTTCAGTGGTTGTGTGTGTGTCTCTTGGCAGCATGTGCACAACATTTGCCTTGTTGGGGTTTGGACAGGATGCTGGGATCCTAATCTGAATCTGATTCAAAGATGTTTGAGGTTATTTTTACTCATCTGTGTGTGCCACATGGTTTACTGACATCTACTAATCATGTCGCTGATCCTCACTTTCCGGCTTCTAGTAGCGAGAATAAAAAAAGGGGTAAAGTTTGAAGAGAAGTTAAGCAATGTTACAATGTGTTTTATGATGGATATGAGTCCATGTCCTGTGTGAGATTTTAAGGGAGATACAACTGTGCAGCCATGTGAACTTTGGTTCTTGGCTGCATTTCTCAGCAGCACATTGTTTTATGATGTGTAATTATGAGAAATATCTGATAAAACTCCTCTCGGGTGATTTCTTTACAATGACCAAGAGATGACTCGTTTCTTAGCTTTTAGCAAACAGATGAGCTTTGTGACACAAACAGAGGGCACATTTGAAGATTGATGAACTTAATGTTGCTCACTTGAATGAAATAAGACAGATTTATTTACAGGGAAGTGGAAGAAATAGAGAGCACTGTTCTCTGAGCTGGACCAGACACACAGAAGAAGAAAGAATGATTGTCATTGTGCCACAAAGTTTGAGCGCTCAGTGTTTTTTTTACTGCTCGTCCCCACCAGATTTACCAGTCCTTTTATTGTTGTAATTTATTCTCTGGGTGATGAAAATGATGTCGAGGAGACACAAGGATGGTTTGAGCTGCAGAATTGGAAGATGTATGGTGGAGAGTGAAAGAGAATCAGTGTGTCTCTGGTTCTTTAAGCTCCTAAGTCCTGATCCAGAGTTAATCAGTATTTGACCCAAAAATTCCTTTTGTGATGAAAATGGGGTTTTGCTCATGTTCTGATGGGAGTGAGGAATATTTAATGGCTGGTAGCTGTGGGCTTTCTTTTTTTTTTTTTTTTTTGTCTGTCATGGTTAAAGTGAGTAGGTGGTGGCAGACTGAGGCAGCTGAATCCAGCTGGCTCATCAACATCCTCATGAAGAGAGGGAGTGTTTCTGGTAGTGTGTGGGAGAATCCCTAGGCTCTTTTTTTTTTTTTTTTTTTTTTTTTTTTCTTCACTTCCAGAGAAATTTGTGGCTGTGGATTTCTCATGAGTCTCCATTATAGATACGCCACAAGAAAGACCAAGTTTCAACGCCCACTACATCCTACATCTCTGCACTGCATAATTGACTGTGATTCATTAAAACCAGGAATGATTCAGATGATGCAGCCTGACTGTGATTGAATATAGTTTCACTTTTTCTTTTGAACTGTTCCCATTGCTGTTTTTATGATCTATTAGTCATCAATGCTGGGATGAGGAAGTTCTTCCTGCAGGCCAATGACCAGCAGGACCTCGTGGACTGGGTCGACTCTCTCAATAAAGCCACCAAGATCACTGTGAGACACACACACACACACACACACACACAGCATACAGTCTCTCACTGCTTTCTTTGTTCTCATGTTTTATGGCTTAGAGAAACTTTTATTTCTTCCTCTTCTGTAGAAATAAATGAGTGGACTGACAAGAAAGTAGCTCAGAGTGAGTCAGAGGGTGACTAACAGGAAGCTGTATTGTTGCAATAAGTGTTGGAACGAAGGACTGTTTCCATTGTTCTCCAAGAAACTATCTAGCTCAGATATGGATACTCAGTCAGGGTTTTAAAGGTGTTTTAAGTCACCAATGCTAGAAGTTAAAAACATTATTTTAGCAACTTTTAGTATGTTTTTGTCTTATTAGAAACCACCATAAAACTTCTCAACTCTCATGTGACTTTGTTTTTTTCCCCCCTAAGGTGCCAAAGTTGTCTGATGGGCAGCAGAATGCAGAGAACCTCAAGACGTTGCCGGACGTAGTCGGGCCCAAGAAACAAGTCTCTTACAGGACAGAGATCATTGGAGGTGTCCCCATTGTCACCCAGACACAGGTAAACATGACCCACATGAACTGAATCACAAACAGCGCGCTTTTTAAAAAATACTGCATGTTTGGAGTTTGACGCCTGCAGGAACACACTATAATTGAATAAAACTGTATTTAAAAACACGCAAAATGCACATCAGCTTTGAATTTTTTATGGGACAAATATAAAACTCTATAGACTTGACATTTATGAATTTTAATTCTATTAATGATTAAGCAATCAACAGTTTAATCAAAACTATGGAAATAGTATTTGGTTGTATTCTTATCTAAGGAGATACTGTCTGTATATTTATAGTAACAAATGATACTATATCGCTACTATAAATAATAAGAAAAAATCTGTAGTTTAAATCCACTATTAAAATTCTGAGTATCTGCCTTTTTTTATGTATATGGAGCCTACGATTACAATATCTCTTGTGCCCTCATCCTTCAGCAGGAAGGTGGGGATGCTGCAGACAGAGCAGAACGTGAGGCCATGCATCGTTCTCACAGCCAGCTGCCATACTTCCTGGGCCGGCCGACTCAGGAGCACAGCGTCATCAAGTCAGGCTACTGCGTCAAGCAGGGGGCTGTGGTGAGTCCCTCTATTTCTCTACATCAGTACTTCAACACCCATTTCTGGAAAAAGATTGTTTGATAAGATTACATATCATAATCATTTGACAGTAAATGATTTGTATGCCAAAGGAAATGCATATTCTCCAGTGTGTGAAATGCCCAGAAATAAAGAGCTTCTCATCTGTACATAGATATTATAAAATCTTTAGAAATTAGATTCCTAACATGACTAGAATTCAAAAATGTGAAAGGTCTGAACATCTTTTTGTCCTTTTTTTTTTTATTAGATGAGGAACTGGAAACGGCGATATTTCCTGCTGGAAGAAAACTCCATGAGTTACTTCAAGTCAGATTTGGTAATGATCTTTGATGAAGTTATGTGAAGCCTTTGAGGAATGTTTATTTTGATGATATGCATGGCTCAGATGTACAGTGAGGCAAAGTAAGAGGAGACACTGAGCCTCTAGTTCTAACATGTTTTATCCACAGTCTGTGGAATTCAATGCCTGCACTTCACGTGTCCTGTCATGCCCTGTTCCTCCCTGGCCTTTCTTACACACACACACACATACGCAGACACACAGACTGTCCTCTGGATAATGCTGCACGTCTCATACCTGTCCTTGTCCAGTTTTGCCCTTATTTGACACCTTTATCTGTCTATTTGGTTATCATCAGGCCCCAAGGACACAGACTCTCTGTCTCCTGTATCAAATGGCTGGGTCAAGAAAGTTACAACACTCAGGGATTTAGTCTGCAGTCTGATACTTTGAGGAAAGTTTTCTATCTTGTGTTCCAATGAAACTGAAACAAATCTGGAAATCTTGTTACGAGACCAAATATTGGAAAAAGTAATGAACTTGCAAATGTTACGTTAACCCTATGTATTTCAGTTTTCAGGCTTCTAAATATATACTGAACAGTTATTTTGTTTCTTGTAGGAGAAAGAGCCTCTAAGAATGATCCCACTAAAGGAAGTGCACAAAGTACAGGAGTGCAAACAGAGGTATGTAACATGTCCCAGCATTTACCCGTTGTACAAAACATTGTCTTTTGTCCAGTAGGATGGTGTTTACCTTTTCTGATTTGAATGAAGATACAGATGAGAAAAATACGATCTGACTTGTTTTCCCACTTTTAATTGTAGTGACATCATGATGCGGGATAACCTGTTCGAGGTCGTCACCACTTCTAGGACGTTTTACATACAGGTAGGATGTAATCTGGATACCTATTCACAAACTCAAAACTTCCCAGTCTACCAGCAGTCTGTTTTCCCTCATATTAATGTGTCTGTTTTTAGCATCAGTTTTTGTCTCACACTCTTCTCTTTGTTACTCACTGTCCTTTGCTGTAATGTGTCCTCCAGGCTGACAGCCCAGAGGAGATGCACAGCTGGATCAAGGCAGTCTCTGGGGCCATTGTGGCCCAGAGGGGACCTGGGAGGTCTGCAGCCACAGTATGTATCCTGCACTACACGACAGCACAGTGGCACCATAGTGTGATTTCCTTTTATTATAAAATACACTGAAGTGACCGACAAGATCTCATATATACTTTTGGACCATGGCAATAAATTTGGTCTTGACCTAGACTCGATTCTAGATTTAGTAAGTCAGAAGTATCTATTCATAGGAGGAGAAAAGTAGAGACTTTTCACAACACTGATTTGTATTGTGTCACTTGTTACATATATTTGTTCTTGTTTGTCCTACTTTCACAAGAGCTCACTCCTTTTCCATTCAGAGAGACACCTTCTCCAACAGTGAAGCCAAACTATTCTAGTGTTTGGCTGTACAGTCAAACAAGACAAATGAAGAGGAATTCTGCTCCTTTTTGTCTTCTCCATTTTTTTTAATGTTCTACAATGTTTTCGTTACCATCCAAAAATCAACATGTTTCACCGGGTATGTTTTGTCTTTCTATATTATGCCCTTGGTAGTAAACAATCAACAGTTGCTGGATGACAGAAAATAAGGGGACTAGAGGTTGAAAATGACATGCTACAAAGGTCCCGTAAGGCTCTCCTGGTGACAGAATTCCCTGCTTTGATTAAGGGTGGTGAAATGTTGCAGTAAGGGGTAAACGTGCCTATAGGTAACACTGTCTGTAAGGCATTTATGCATTGTACATTTACAGCTGTATTTAGAATTACACACAAAGGCTTCATACACTCCTTCCTTAACGTCTGCTGGCATCGGCCTGAGCAGTCTCTGTTGAGCTGGAAGAAGCTGATGTTCTTCTACAGATGGATAATATGTATTATAATGCGCCCTTGAATTTGATGTATTTTTCCGGTTTCACGTTCTTTCTGGCACTGATTCTGCACATTGCCTGGTCTAAATCCGCTGCCTTTTCTTTCAGTTGAAAGTCGACATGCTCATAAACTGAAAAACGTTTTTGAGATATCTACCATCTTTTTCTTACCAAAGATAAACTCTGCAACACCAGAAAAAAAAAACTTATGACTCTAGTTTTCATTATGAATTTAATTAAACACACATGCAAGTGTAAAACAAGAAGGGAATAGTATACTGTACTAAGGGAAAAGGAGAAACATGAACATAACTGTTGAAGTGGCTCCTGCTGAGCTTTTCCAGCCAGTAGTTTGGTATTGCAACAAATCAGTAATATGGACAGGCAAAGGTCCCACATTCCCGTTCTACACACATGCACATTTTTTCACAAGTTTGTTGACAACCAATGCTTGATCAGATTTGAGTACCCACAGAGACGACCAGATCTGTGGGTGCACTACCCGAGTTCAAACACTGTACACAGAAACAGGTGAGATTAGAGAAAAGGATCAGTTGCATAGTCCAGACTGCAGAGGACATGGTGTCCTCTGTCATAGGCTGCACCTTCTGGCTACATGGGAATCATTCACAAAACATCTGCACTGTGTGTTTCTCTACAGTGTGTATTTCTTTCTTTCTGGCTTGATTTTCCCCTCAACTCTGTTTTCCTCTCCTGTGCCTTTTTCTCTTTGTCCTTCTCCCATTCTGTCTTTCTTTCTATACCACATTCTCTCCACGTTCTCCTCTCCCTTTGGGCTGACGGCCCATCTGCTCTAATACTGCTGTGTGCACTGTGTTGTTGCAGATGCGGCAGGCCAGACGGCTGTCGAACCCCTGTATACAGAGGTATACGTCCCGAATCGGGGAGTGCAGCAGCACGTATGTCAGCTCGTCTAAATCCCCCCTCTAAACTATAAGTTCATCTTTTTTTAATACTTTCCTCTCACTGGCTGGCCCTTTGTGGTTGTCAACATTGTGAGAGGGGTTCGGAACTGATGCTCCTCTTTTTATTTTCTAAGAACCAACCACATCCTAAGTATGGCTGTTATAACCCAACAAGCACTCCTCCATTCACACCCTCGTCCTTGCTGCTTCTGTCATCCACTTCTCCCTCCACCTTTGCTCTTCTGTACTTTTGTCACTTGAAGCTCAACTCAACGTTTGAGCTTTTCCATTCTCTGTCATCAGATGATTTCCAGTTAAACATGTAAAGTAAACTTGTTTCTGTAAGTTTCAGACTTGTGGTGTGCTTGATTTAGCTTCTCTTGCATGTGATGACTATCGCAACAAGCACGGCAACTGAAATCAAGTACATCTGTAGGCGTCAAACTGCTAAAAAGTTATCTTAACCGGCACAGAATGACTCCAAACAGCTGGAATACATTGAAACAAAACCTGCACTCGTGCCTTCCTTCCTCCCTCTAACATCACCTGCAGAGCTTTTACCCGTCCCCACCATTGTTGACTATGCACAAGTGTAAAGAAAAATATCTTCATGTTTAAACCACACACAGCCTTACACTCGCTGCATGACCTTCCTGATCAGTGTAGCTATGAATACCTCCAGCCTGTTTCTCTCTCTGTATTACTTGGGTACATTTGTCTTTCACACCCTGTGTTTCTCTTCCCCTCATGCTCTGTTATCTCTGCAGTCTGCTGCAGCTGTGTACCTGTCTTAGATGTGTGACATCCTGCTTGTCTCTCCTCCTCCCTCCTGTTCGCTGCCTGTATGTTTTTTTCTCTTCCTCTTACACACGACAGAAAAAAACGTATTTCCATTTTGACCTTTTGTACCTTTCATGTCCTTAATGATTAACGCAGAAAATGCTGAATCCAAAACCCAGACGCATATTCTTTGAGTAGTACTAGTTAAGTGTTATCTGAAGTTTTAATATATGGGTTTGGGAGAACCATTTACATACTTGTATTGTGTGATAATACCAAATAATCAGAAGTGCTGTGAAATGTGAATCATTTTTTCCTAGTGACATGTGGTGCTTAATCTTATGGTCTCTCATAAAGACTCCTAGAGCTTCATTTTGGACCTTTTGGATTCAGCAAATATCAACTTTTAATACATGTGTGGCTCTTGCTTGTACTTGTAGACATGTTAGTTCTAGGAATGTCATCTTTTAATCTTGCAATACTTTATTTATTCTTTGTACATTTACAGATTTGATGTTTCACAAGACTGAAAAATATTGCTGTAGCATCAAATAAGGGAATCAAGTTGATAAATGTGGACTCTTGAAGCGTTCTCTCTTTGACATTTCTCTAACCAACACTCTACTGACTGCTCATTGGCTATCTCTTATGGCTTCTTCTTTTTTTTTTTTCTTTTTTTTTTTTACAGAGATTAAAATCTGACAATGAAAAGTTGTGAAATAATGAGCCACAACCAACCATTGCTTCCTAAACAACTCTGCTATTCCACTGAAACCTGTTGAGACAACCAAAACTAAAACCTGCTGACACTACTACCACTCCTCCTGCTACCTCTTCTGCTACTACTACTTCTACTACCACTACTGCTACAACCACCACCATATCCACTCTCTTGTAATGCTATGTCTTCAGCACCTTCAACCTTCAGCACCAACTCTGCTAAAGCTGCATCAGGCTCCACATGCTGGTGCTAGTTCCAAGTCTGTAACTCACTTTTGCGCTTCTCATGAGTACAAGTATCAAGATTTTATTTTCCCCGCTTACCAATCCTCTTGTCGTGCGCTCTCTCTGTGTCCTTTTCTGTCTCTGCTGCAGGAACACAACAGCCGTTCCACTTTCTACCGCAGCCCCGCGGGGCCCCCCGTCCCTCGCTCGCCCATATCTGCCATGCCACCATGCTACCCAGAGTGGGGCGCTGCTGTCACGTGCGGCACACGCCCGCAGCCTGGCGTGGGACAGCGAGCACTTCATGAGCCTGCTCCCCCGGCCCAGTCACAGCCACATGCCAGCACGCCTGTCCCTGCAGGAGACACGCCTGGCAAAGTGAGCTGCGAGCCACCTGCCACCACCACCATCATCAGTAACTCGGAGGAGTCACCGTGGCGACGGAGGAGCAGCTTTGAGCCCCACATCCCTGAACCTCCGCTGGACCTGGACGACGCTGACCTGCCAGTGAGCGAGGTCTGAACTGGATGTTTAGACTTGATCATCTGCATGATGTTAACTTAAGAGTCCTTCGGTCAAGAGGAAACTGTGCGACCGGTGTGCTTCAAACCAAAGCTGTTGTCAGATGACTGTGTGCAACACCACAAACTTGTGTTACGCGCCTTCTTCAGCGTGCTGTTGAAACCACCGATATGCACTCGTGTGCCATAGACGACCCGGTCTTCACTCACACCCCTCTGCCTGCTGCCACATTTACAGTCATGTATTTATTTACTACGAGTTGTCAAACAGACCAAAACATTGTACTTGACTTGTCCCTGACTAATGGCGGAGCTTTATTTTAACCTGCTCAGGCACAAACAATGTCTTTAACAGTATTTGTGGGCAGAGGGTGTTTGTGAATTTACTTTGTGCCAAGAAAATAAGGGAGCTTCAGAGTAGGAGCTATTTCCTCATGACTGAAAAGAGCTTTCAAACTGAGGACTGTATTTATAACACCTATCTAATCTACTAATTTACAATGTGGGATCCATTCATGCACTCTCTAACGTAACCTGTGATTTGTTGGTCAGTGTTAAGGATATGGATCCAGCTTAGTCTGAGATCAAATCCTAACTCTAATGCAAATTCTAGTTCTAAATGTTGATCCACGAGAGGATGACCTGATTAAATAATGCAAAACCAAATGTATTGCAACCAACAGCTGCAGATAAACTGAGTTAGTTTTTTTTTTTATATATATATATCAGAGGATGGTGTTGTCATTGTTATTGACCACATAGAAAAGCAGCTTACATGTCAAACTAAAGTGTGATTTTTTTTTTTAAAAAACTGTAAATCGACATGTGGTAGTTGGGTCAGAGTAATGTGCAGAATTGCGAAATGAGAACTTTTTTGAAAGTGATCACAGTACGTGAATCACTTCACCACCTTAATCAGGCTCTTTACGAATTACATGTCAACAAGATAACACTACATGTCCGTAACCAAGCAGAGTTCACTTGTGTATATTTTGTGATTCATAGTAATAATAACTTCAACAACAGGCCTGGGTCAGTCACAGATGAGCTCAGCAGACTGACATGATCTAACTGAACCTGCAGTCTATTAGTCTAGTGAGGATTATTATACTGTGTAAACACCTTGCAAACCTGTCGGATCAAGGTTTTAACAAAAATGAATTCAAGCTCAGACACTTCTGTAGCGTGTTCTGTAACATTTCAATGGTTCCTCGGATCATCTTTCTGTTTAGTAGTTGTTCTTTCTCTCCAGCCGCTCTGTGTGTCGTGTGTGTGCAGAATAGAGCTGATTTATTTTTTATATGCTTTTAGATGTTTTTTGATCATATTTCTTGTTCCTGTGTTGCCAACCCAGCAGGAGGCAGCTTCCTTGTGGTTTTATTTAAAACTGTCTTAACTGCTAAATAATACACTCTAATCTTTTTTTTTTTTGTAAGTGCCTGTTTTATTTTAGTCCAACAAACTTAACAACAAAGCTATTTCACCCATTTTTACTCTGGTGTAATTGGTTTGAATCGTCTTTATTTATTATGTGGTTGACTTGAAAGAATTAAACAATGAAAATGTGCTCAGGTTTCTTTTGAGTTGTGTGTTTAGACCACAGTGAGTTTATGGGGAGAGGCTAAGAGCTTTGGAGCATGCACACTAATCCATCTCATCCACTCATTAAGTCTCCTTCTGCCCTCTTGTGGTGAAAGCCAAAACTTCACTCTGATGGTGTTGCATTAACATATTCTGGACTTATAGTATGATTGCAGAATTTAGCATTCTTAAAGTATCAAAAGGATTTATTAAGCAAACAAAATACTTTCACTGCAGTGGAGTAGAAGTAGGGAAAACAACTAAAAGTAAAGTACAAGTTCTTCAAAAATTGTACAAGTACAGACCATGAGTTGATGAACTTCCAACTGTTCATTATAAATGCTTCTGGTGAGTGATTGATAACGCCCTTTTGAAATTGTTCATTAAAGAGCTGTGAGATTCGGTGCTTCACTCTTTGGTGTAAGAAAACAGTCTACTTCCGATTCACACACAGCATCATGCAATCCTCACATTATCCATCTCTGCTCCTTATTGGACGATGCAAAGCTTTGGTGTGGCTTCATGTGAGCTATATTTGGACTCTGGAGGGCCTCAGTGACAGCCAAGACATCATTGCAGACTACAGCGTGGAGATCACACAGACCTCAACAGCATCCATCTTTGGTTCCTCATAGATGAGGTTGTTTTCATCTGCGGATTTTCCCACCATGTCTGTGTAATCCCCTCGAGTTTCCACATAATGGCTCTGAGGGAGCTGTATGCTCTCACTGCTAAATGATATGGTGCTCCAATGTCTTGGTTCAGAAATGAGTGCACCCTCTCATTTTACCAAATACAAATAGTCTACCTTGAATTCCTGGGTTACTGGTCTACATCTTTCTGTTTCCTGCAGTCTTGGCAGGAACATTCTGGTCCACATCCCTTTACACCCCTCTTTGTAATTGCCTTTATGGATACAGAGGCTTGTGTTACTCCAAGCTCTGGCCCACCACAGGGGGCCTCGTCCCTCCATCTCCAAACATCCAGCCACCCATTTAAACCATGACCGTTCATAGAACCCGGTTTCACCCATAATCAATCACATTATGCTGAAGGGTTTTATGACACTGATTCATGGCCTCTGTGTTTACTGGAATCTTAATCGCTCGCCACAGACGAGTTAACAGAGATTTGTTTTTCACAAAATTGTGTCCTCTAATAAAAGCACTGTGATATTTAATCTTGCAATCAAATAGTTAGAGGAAATGAGTTTCCCATAAACAATGTGGTTATTGAAATATTTCTCATACACTTTCATTGATTTACACTTCAGGGAATGATTATTTGCACGCTGTTTGGATATTTAGATGCTGTTTATGTCCCTTCCAGATTTGTGCTTATAACCCTCAGAGCCAGGATAAAACCCTACATGGATAACTGAAGTTCTCCTGAAACGTTTCCAATCAGAACAAATTAAGCTATGAGAAAACACTATTAACTACACAAATCCCACAGTCCGTGGAGCTTGTTATTTTTATTTTTTATTTTGCCCCACCGATTTTCCTAAATAGCCATAAGGGTTTGTGTGAATGCCAGGCGTGACTAATTCATTAAGAGGCTAGTTAAAAGAACATGCAGGAAATTAGCCTGCAGGGCTGTGCAGCATATAAAACATCTGGGCAGCACTACTGGGGTTTTAATTCTCTCTCTTCATTTGTTTGTATATAATATAATCAGGGTCAATGCCAATGTCAGCAAAACATTGGCAGGGTGGAGTGAACTTGAACTTCTCAACCCCACTCAGAAGGAGGCAGAAGAGAGAAGAAATGTATGTAGAACTTGATTACTTTTCATTTTGTTGTACAGCTCTTAAATACTCATTTATTCCCATACCAGCTTTAACGCAGCTTTTCCGTCTTGCACGTCATGTAAATGCACCAATCAGCAGGCTTGTTGTGATTATCGAGGCAGCGAGTTTTTTTTTTTCTTCTGTGATGCATTGCCAGCAAAAACGTGAAGGCGCGTAATTGGTTGCGCAGTGGAGTTTCTGTTAAATGCCTCTCCAGCTGAAGTGACTCCCCCCTCTGTACTACTGAGCTCTCTCATCCCATAACACTGCAAGCAGGGAGCGCACTGTTGGAACTCCCAAAACTTGATTTTCTTTTTAAAAAACTTTAAAAAACTTTTAGTTTGAACAATATGTTTTGGTCTTTGTGCGTAATCGTAGCTTTTGCGTCATTGCCAGCAGACGCGCAAATCAACAGCCGGTATGTTATCGGATGTCCTGCTCGGTGTGACAAGTCGATGTGTCCAAGGGTACCAAAAACAGACTGCCCTGCGGGACAAGCCCTCGACGCCTGCCACTGCTGCCAGGTGTGCGCGTCCGCGGAGGGCGAAGCTTGCGGCGGCAGCGGTAAGCTCGGGGACCCGGTGTGCGGAGAGGGGCTTGAGTGCTCGGTGTCCGGCGGGGTGGTTTACTCTGTGACGGTGAGGAGGAGAAGTAAGAGCGGGACTTGCGTGTGCAAAGCCACCGACCCGGTTTGTGGAAGCGATGGGGTGTCTTACCGAAATATCTGCGAGCTGAAGAGGGTCAGCCGCCGCGCGCAGAAGCTGCAGCAGCCACCTGTACTCTTCATTCAGCGGGGAGCCTGCGGGAAAGGTGAGCCTGGGGGTGTTGAAATCGTTTTTAAAAAAAGACGCCAAAAAAGTGAAATGTTGATAAGAGTTGATAGATATTTGGATAGTTTTGACTTCATCAGTGATTATTCTGCATTTTGAGTAGGCTACTTTCGTCCTAGTAAACTATTTTTCTCTCATGGCTTCCAAATGTCTTCGTTTTATTGACACAGACATCTTAATTTAATTGACCGCATGCTCCGATTGGCTTCACTAAATCTGTTACTGGTCTTTTTTTTTGTATGCCATTTCATCCTCACTTTTTGCATCAGCTCCTCACTTGATGTGTGTGGTTTGACTTTCACACAGATGTAACAGTTCACAGCTGCATTCATTGGCAAACAAACCCCGTGTGTCTGGGATAACAAGAGCTACTATTCACGTTTGTCCCCCTCTTGTTCCTGCATTACAATTAGAATGGATCACAGAACTATTTCTGATTTCCCCCCCTGGTTGAATGAAGTCATGAGCTCTGATGTAAAGCTTGATGGAAGGATTTTCTCTCTGGCATTCATAACCTGCAGTCACATGGCTCAAATCCGATTGTTTTCACACTGTGCAGTTCATGCCAGTCCATGCAGTTTGCCGAAAGCTATTTTTATAGCCTGATAAGTGTTATAAGCTGATATTAAACAGCAGTGAGGTGATATATTTGTGTAACTGAGTGTTTCAGAATGGAGCGGTGTTTTATCAAAATGTCAGCCTAATCAGTGAAGCTCAATCATATACAGAAATCATTTTTCACTCCTGTACGGTTAAATCAGAGAGCGATTTATCATCATTAATACTATGCTTGAAAGATATCTTTGAATGATGGAATATGTTCTGACTTCAACACACACACACCTGCACACATGTGAGGTCTACAGGTGGTAAAGACATTGTATCATTCTCCAGTTTGTGGTGTATGTTTTTCACATATGTCCATCTGAAGCATACACCACGTGTGCGTTTTAAAACTTCTGAATGAAGAGCTTCAACACCTGCTGCCTCAAAGACCAATAACTTTCCTCAAAGCTTGGAAACTTACATCCCCACCCCCAAACTCCTTCCTCCGTCTTCTCCTCCTCTCTCTCAGTGTCGCTTTCTGTCTTTTTTTGTTTCTGTTGTCGCTCATAAATCACACTCACTAGTCACATGAAGGAATGTCTGCCACTGATTTGGAGCCATAATTCGTCTACTGTTGAAGACAGGCAGGAGACACATGAGGAAAACACAAAATTAGCAACCCATATTTTTGGGGGAAAGGTTTACACCGAGATCAAAAACCATGTGGGTGCGGCGGTAGCGCAGACTGTATCGCCACGTTTGTTTGTCAGTCGTGTAAGCAACTTAAATGGTTATGTCATGCTCAGGCTGCTAACCATGTCTGAAGAAAAGCTCTGTGGTGAGTGCTGTTGATATTTTCAAGGCACCAAGTGAAAAGTTCCTAAGCTGCACTAAAACAAGTCACTTTTCATTTAGTGCGTTAGACCCGCCTCTGTCCAAGCTGTTGGTGAATAGTGCTGTCATTATCAGCCTTTCCAGACCACCTCTGGCATTAGATGAGATCTATGCTGTAGACTACAAATTGCAGTCAACACTGCTAAGAAAACCCGCCCCGCACCCTCTGAGCTCCTTTAAGTATTCCCACCTCTAGGCCCCATGTTAAGAAAACATATATAGGAGAGTACACTTTGCATGATGTCATTTCGTGTCTGGATTGTAAAGATGCTGATTGTGCAAGGTGTTCACTTTGGCATGGAAAATTAGGTCAAATATTTCTGTGACCTGGGGGTTCATATTTGTTTTAAATGACCCAGTTTATTTTACAGTGCTTTTTTTTTGGCAATTTCCAGCCTTTATAATAGCGATACTGGAAGGACTAAAAAAAGACATTAGGCTACACTAAGAATGCCAACTTGAACTTAAATGGTATGCATCCACTGGACCAGGCAGATATTGATGTCCCTTTTTCACACAGAAATTACATAATGTAGCTAAAAAAACACATGTTAAATTAAGCGGTACATCAGTACAGTGTTGCCATTTTTACTTTACCCATCAGTTTGTACAAAGCTGTAAAGCCTCAATGGGAGTTGTATTTGGATGACTGTATAGAGTAGGAGAAGAGACGGGGGTATGCTAATGCTGAGTTATCAAAGTTGTACAATTTCAGTCAATACTCAACGTTAATTCATTTGCTGACAAAGAAGCTTGTTAGACACAGTGGTTCCCTCAACACGAGATTCAATTTGTGTTTGTAGTTGACTGGGTTATCATTGTTAGACTAAAGGAGTCCAGAGAGCTTGTAGACTGTATCTAACTCACCACTTTGAATGAAGTCAACTGGATGTCTCTACCACTGATTCACTGTCTACTCTTCAGGTAAATGCAATAAGAATCCTGAACTTGGAAAAAATGATACCAAGCAAGCCGTGCATGGTGAGCGCAGACATGGATACCTGCTATTCAGTGTTTACTATTAGAGTAATTTAATTCCCAAAAAAAGCTGAGGCAAAGAATTCTTGGGCAGTCTGTTGGTGCAATTTACAGAACAGAGTGCCTGATTTTTGTCTGATTTTTGCATGACAACACACTTGACACATGCATCCACCTTTCACTCAAAGTGGCCACAACCCAAAATATTCTAAACTTTAAGCCCTAATATAATTTATATGTGCGAGCTATAAAAACAATCCACACCCTGGGAAGTTGTCATCTATAGAGTAGATATAGAGACCTATCAGTTTTTTGTAAATGCATTTGAATATGTTTATATCTAATGTAATGTTGGGCATTTTAACACGGGGGTTAATGGGGATCGACTCACTTCTGAAGACCCTCTAGTGGCTAGTTGAGGGATTTCAATTTTGGCACTTTACCGTGGGCTGTATGTCATCACTGGAGGTTGCTTATGGGATTCATTTTCCTTATTTATCTGTTTAATCAAGTTAAAAGCCCCATAGAATTTATAGCTGCTGAGTCACTGTGTTGCTCTTTCTGGCGTTGCTGGCTGATGTTGCAGAATACACTCTGCGACCCCGACTAACATGTGCTGAATGTGCACATTTTTCCCTGACTTGTCTAAGCCACTCATAATATTAAACCATCGTCTCTGTGAATGTTTTTTTTTTCTTTATGTTATTCTATCCGTCTGTCTGCTCTCCTGTATCTGCATGTCACGTCTCTCTTTCTGTCTGTCTGTTCGTCTGTTTCTCTCATCTACTTTCCTTCCTGTTCTTTCCTGTGATTCTCTTGCTTCAGCTCTGCCATTTTCCTTCTCTTGTGTATCTGGTCTAAATCGTACTTCACCGGGTAACATTATTTGACTCCCAAACCCGCTTTTCTCTGCTGGACAGTATTGAACTATACTTAATGTTACATTGATATGTTGATTCTAACCTTGAAAAATGTTTGTATGAAATAAGGAAACAATAACTGCGGTTATTAAGAAAATACTGTATTCCTGTTATCTTGATTTCAAGTAAATCATTTTATTATGTTGAGATAACCAAGCTAATATTTTCATGGTATGGCTAATTTATATGGTTATCTTGATAAAAAGAAAACGGAGATTTATCAAGATAACAAGAACATTTAACAATGTTAGTGTGCACTGACATGCTCTCCTCTTAATAATCTTCCAGTTCAGTCTTCAGTGTTCAGTGGATTTTAACTCTGACAGAAAATCAAAACAATACAGTTTATCTGCCTGTGTTGCCTAAAAGAAGCTTTAATAAGAGGGATTGATCTCTTGTTTTCTTGAGGTACATAATTATTCTGTTTCTCCAGGTAATTGAACAATAATCCTTTATTCAAAGTAAAATTATTTAAAAAAAAAAACACATTTAGCATGGTCTTATAGCTGCCATATATTTGTACAATGATTCAGGTACATAATTTTCTGACATCAAAAGCAGAAGGAAATGGTTTGGAAATAGAAAATTCTTCTTAAGCTGTAGAAACTTTCCACTCTCAGATGTGTGCTTCAGGATTTATTGTGTGTTTTCACCCTTTATTGAGGTCTCTGATGGAAAAATGCAGTTTTTGGGCTTGAACTTGAATTACAAAAGGACACATTTTAAAACGGAAAAATCTATTTGGAGGTACTCAAAAGCTGTTGCCAGGATGTTTCTGTAACATTATAAACATCAGTGAAGCCCAAACAATCTATTTTCTTGATTGCAGTGAGCTGGGCTTCAATCAAAACTTTAATGCTCTAACAATCACATTAAACCAAAATCTATGACCTAATTCATAATAAACAGAACAAAGTAACTGCTACCACATTTCCCAACGCTCTGCTTAAAGCTATAGTTAGGACAGAAGAGGATACAAAGGAAACAACAGAACATGCATTTAATTGTATGTTTTTTTTTCAGCAAAGAAAATACATCTTTGCTTTCATTTCACTCGTTAAGCACCGCCCTGGCTCTGGTTGGCCTCAGTTTGCCCAACAGAAGACACACAGTGTGTATTAATGAGATGTCAGTGCATAAAGAAAAAAAGCCCAAACTTAATGTATCCACATCTCTCCAGAACATGGGAAAAGAAAGATCAGCTTCCGTCGGCAGGCTCCAATAAAACAGCAGGTTCTCGGAATGGGGAGAAAAGAGGCTGAGGGAACTCTTGTGGTGAAGGTCAATGTGTAGAGAGGGGAGGGGGTAATGGGTATACAGGGTGAAGATGATTGGGGGCTTTTGAGTGTTTATGAGAGAGAGAGAGAGAGAGAGAGAGAGAGAGAGAGAGCGCGCGAGGGAGGGAGAGAAGAAAGGGCCTTTATACAAACTCTGGCGAAAGTTGTGTTTGAATGCCTGATTTGACTTGATAAATAATCATTCTGGTTATTGTTAACGTACACTTTACTTTATATGGATCTTTATAAGGAGGATGTTGAAATCAAGTTAATCAGTCCTTAAACTCAATATTAGTTTGTCATTCAAGCTCTGTAGTGAGTGCATAGGCCTATATTATGAGCATGAGCATCATTGACTAGATTGTGTCAGAACATCCAGGTTACTGAAATTTGATCTCCTCTGTACGCCTTAAACATTTGTTTTCCCTTTCCTGCACAATCTCTAAACTTGGGCTTTGTTAAGTGGTGTGTGTGAGAATACGCATAAAACTTTCCTCAGTTAGATCAAAACTAAATGGAAACCCACATTGTTGATGCTAACGTTTTTAATTTATGAAGTGCTATTCCGAGCATCAATGGGTCACTTTGGATCTTTTGTTCTGTCTTGTACTCGGTTCAAAAAGTCTAAAATGGCCTATTTTTAAGCAACAGTCTCTAAAGTAAATTATTCATGTTGCATGTCCTGTAAGAGTGGAAAAGTATCTTTAATGATAACAATTCATTTTTTTCTTGTTCTAACTTTTTCCCTCAAGAAGGGAAATAGGTCATTTTCAAAGACACAGCTGCTTTACAATCGTGATCACAAGTCCTCTACAACAGTAAAGCCTTTGAAAGCCCAGTTCAACAGTGAAATAATCTGTCAAAGCACATAAATCGAGCAACAATGATTGCCAAGGCTTTCTAATTTAACTCAGCTTTGCAGAAAATCTGATTTATGACTTACCATGTCAAATAAATTGTCACCACTGAGCCTTAAAGTCTGCTATCATCACTTGTGTTGTATTTGTGTATGTGAGAAGGCAGCAGTATTCACAACGTGTTGAATTGGAAGAGACTGACAGCTGGTTTGAATCCAGATACAAAACACAGGTTATAGACACTGGGCCGACTCTCTATAACTGTAATCCTGTCAGAGCGGACCACAAACCCCACTGGGTGTGAAGCTAGCATGTGGGAAGAGCTTCCAACATTTCCATTACTCCTCTCTCAGACTTTGATGAGAAACTTTTTAAACGTTAAGCAAAAAAAAATATATGATCTGTAGTTTTAAGGTTCATTAAAGAAATGCACAAGGGTTTGGGCTAAATTGCTGCCACTTGTTTATGACTGACTTCTTTTATGCTAGCTGCATCATGTTAGTTTTGGCAATGCTAGTCCATTAGCCACCATTTTGACAAAATCTTAAAATAGGGAAATGGCTTAATGATAATTTAATGGAGTGAACTTTGGTCCAGATTATCTTCCCCTGATTTTTTCTCTTTACATCCCCCAACTTTAAAAATCTCCAGTTATCCTCAATATCTAAACATGTTGTACAGACAGTTATGGTGCTGTGAAAGTTCACACTCAAAAAGAGTTGGCTCAAAGGTAAGTTCACACATATTAAAATGAACTAGTTCATGTTCGAAGTTCCCGGTTCAAAAGTTCCCATGCAGTCCAAAAAGTGAACTAGTACTCAACAATGTAGAATTTTTTTTTATCTGCACCAAGCTAGTTTCTACTCTTTTTCAGTCTCCTATACCTCCATCCTACTTGTAGTCATCATTCACTTACGAACGATTCTATACAGGAAGTGGTGAAAAGGTGCGTGCTCAGTCATGTCAGTGAAATATGTACATGAATTACTCTTCACTTAACAGGCTGTTTGCCACAGAGGTGTTCTCAGATGTCATACAGTTTTAGGGTGTTGGTCTTTAAAAAAAAAAAAAAAAATCTTCTTCACGTTGCTTTATTATCATTCGGTCCAAAAAAACTATGCTGTGGGAGACATATAGAGGGAGAGGGAGGGAGAGAACCAAGTGGCAACCCTTCTGTGACAAGATGTTGACAACATGAACTTTGAAATTCACAGTTTCAGTCCATCAATCCTTAGTTGCTTTGGTTGTAGATGGTGATCATTGCCAAATAAACATGTTAGCATTTTCATTTTGAGCAGTGCAGTTAGTTTGCCATACTGTGCCAAAGAACCCATGAACAGAATAATTTAGCATGTAGATAGATAGATAGATAGATAGATAGATAGATAGATAGATAGATAGATAGATAGATAGAATCTGACAGGAAGGTTGGATTGAGAAATCCAGATACCGTATAGCACTTGGGAATGTTCCCCTTGCGGGCTGCTAAATGATCATACCATATAATTTAGAGGCATTTGGTAAGGCAAGACGGTGCTCATTCCATGCTTGTGTTAGCTTAACTGCACATTAAGTGAAGAGAAAGTATCTTTCTCCTACCTTAACCCTTCACTGCAATTAATGCTATCCAAGGGCTTTAGAGTGTCTCTGATCCTCTCCTCCTGGAGAATATTACGAGTGCAACAGAAAGTTGTTCTTGTGAGACAAGGCAATTGGAGGTATACGTGGCAGAATAATAGTTTATGAATAGAAGGATGAAAAGCTCTGAGAGAAAAGTTCTGGCTTTGGTTGAACTTTGTTCTGAGCAAGACTTAATTACCAGGTAAATCAGTCAACATTCCTGGACTTGCCCAACACTGGATGAATGGTGGGATGGATGATTCAAGGAAACTTGAATGTCCTCACTCAAAGTGTTAGACTGTGCGCAAGAGTCTTTTTTTGTGGACCTGTTTGGTCTTGAGAAAAGACCCCTTGATGGTAGTATGTGAATACAATCAACCAAGGGTTGAGTTAAGGGCAAAGGTAGAGTATTTGACTTGTTAAAATCAGGGTTTCTAGATGAATTAGAGTGTGTGTGTGTGTGTGTGTGTGTGTGTGTGTGTGTGTGTGTGTGTGTGTGTGTGTGTGTGTGTGTGTGTGTGTGTGTGTGTGTGTGTGTGTGTGTGTGTGTGTGTATACGTAAGTCTTGACCCAGACATTGTTAACCACGGATCAAACGTCATCTTTTCTTTTCCTCTCTGTGTTATTATAAAGAGCTGTTCTTCTATTTTTTGCACAGCTCCTTCAGCATCCTATATTTCAGGGAATCTTGTGTTTGTTTTAACTCATCTCACATAGTGTGTGTTTTTGTGTGTGGAATTTTCAGCTCAGGACAACCCAGACAGCCCAAGACACAAATACAACTTCATCGCTGACGTGGTGGAGAAAATCGCTCCGTCTGTGGTTCATATTGAACTTTACCGCAAGTAAGGCTCCTGCATCTCTGTGTTTGCGTGCGTGTGTGTGTGTGTCTAGAATTTACAGCCCACCTGTGTACTTTACCAGACCACACTAGTTGGCAGAGCACCTTACCCTCCACTTGAATCTTTCAACGTCTTTTCTTTTCATCGTCTCCCCAGCTTTTATGCTCTGTTTTTGTGCTTCTCGTCCTTCATCATCCGTGTTGCCTCCATTCTGTCTCACTGTGTCTTTTTAAGTGTTCCTTGAACGTCTGCAGCTTTCATTTCCATTATTCGTCTTCTTCCATGTTGATGCTGCAGTGGTACTGTTTGTTTTCTACTCTTATTATTTTCAAAGGTTCTTAATCTCCCCCAACTCACCTTTAAATACCCTACTTAAGGGCCATCTGTTTATATATTTATCAACTCACACACTTCAGTTTTTGTTTGCTCTTTATTTTTGTGTCTTACACTGCTCTTACATCATGCATCAGCTTTGGTGTATTCTCAGTGTGTTCATTTAGAAGTAGCAGCTTTGAACGAGTGAAATGAATAACATCATCCATCCTACCCTTACCCTCATAGGATGACCTATTCCAAGCGGGAGGTGGCAGTGGCCAGTGGTTCTGGCTTTGTTGTGTCAGAAGATGGCCAGATCGTGACCAATGCCCACGTCGTGGCCAACAAGCACAGAGTGAAAGTGGAACTAAAGAATGGCGGCACCTATGATGCTAAAATCAAGGACGTGGATGAGAAATCAGACATCGCCCTCATCAAGATCGATGCACCTGTAAGTCAAAGTTGTTGACTAACACAGTGACAAAACTAGCTATGTTTAGTTATTAAGTATGTCATTGATGAAAGTTGGCTATTTAACAGCCACAAGCAGATTCACTCAAGTTAAATAATAATTCGACATTTAGGTAAATTGAATTCTTACCTTCTTACCGACTGAAAGTGAAAAAGATATGCACCACTCTCATGTCTGTTTGCAGTTAGCGTGAAGGTTTCAAAGGTCACTGCGCCTAGCAACTGTTGCCAAGGAATAAAACTGACTTTAAATCCTTGTAGAAACAAAAAGTGATATTTTTTTATATTTCTGTTTGTTTATGGCTCAAACACATTGGACAGAGCAATGCTAGCTGGTTTTCTTCTTCTCTGTTTATGCTAGGTAATATCTCCCTGGCTTGAGCTTTAGCATTAGCAAACAGACCGGAGAGTCTTGGGAAGAAAGCGAAAAAGGTTCTTTTTTACCAAGATGGCACATCATTCCTCTATTGAAATACTCTTTGTCTCATTGTGAGTGTGATCGTCTTGGTTGAATCAAGAGAAAATGGTAATTGGAGGATATATTTCCTCTTCTTTGCCACTTAACTTAGATTAACTTTCATTCCCTCCTTTTCACATGTGATTTGTTTTATTGCTCTTGAACCTAAGAATAGCCCGTCTCTTATTATCTATTCTTTTGACAAGAAGAAATAAAGGCTCATTTTGGTGTTGAGTAACAAAGATGGCGAAGTTCTATTGACTAATAAACCTCAACATTTGCTTTGTTGAATCAAAAATTGCCAGGCCTCCAATAGATGTTGGTTTCACAAATGAGATTTTATGAGAACATTTACGAATGAGTTGGAATGAGAAAATCGGAAAATGTACTCTTGGCAAAGTTTATTTGTTCTTTTAGAGAGCGTGTCCTAACAGCGACAAAATCTGTTTGATTCTATTCTTTCCTATAGGAGTGTCCTAACTGCCCACTTAGCAGAGCTTGTTTGCTTGTTTTACAAAGGGGAGATAACGGTGCATAAATGATATCCACATCCGTGATTGAAATGTTGAACTTTTGACTTTTGACTTTCAACAGCTCGCCAATGCAAAGCACCACAAATGCGTTTGTCGACCTTCTATACAAAATAACTAAATGTTGTACTGTTTACTAGGGGAATCTGAAATTCACAGAGCAGAGAATTTAATATTTAACACATGCAGTGTGGACAGTGAGTGTGTGATCATGTGTGATGCGACTCGATACGCTGTTAGGACACGTGTGAGCTAGAACAAAGATCAGAACATTAACCTGCTCTTTGTTATTCTTCTGAAAGTGTTTCTAAGTCTGGGAGATTATTTGAAGTGCTAGTAAAGTGAATTGAGAATGCAGGTGTAGTCAGCTAGGTCTTAAAAAGACAGCTGGACTGCAGTCAGTGCATATGCTGTTAGTGTTAAGACACATCAAGCCAAGTAAACAACTGACAGGATCTACAGTATAGGTCTTCTTAGAGTCAGGGACAATCAAATACCTGTTGTTGGTTTAAAGCCTGTGTTGACATTTGACATAAAAAGGGTAAATATATACCTGCACTTAAATGCACACATCATATGCTTGCTACATTTACTCTCCTGTTCGCTCCTCGTCTCTGTCTGTCTGTGTTTATTTCTCTGTCTGCTGGACGTTACATGATAATCACTCCCTGCAGTAATGTGGAGGAATTTGTGGCAGAGATCCAGCTCCTATTGACTGGGAGTCATAGTAGAGCAGAGTGCATTGTAGAGCTCACTCTCATGGCTGGGTGACACAGCTGAATAGATGTCCTTGACAGCACCACAAGATGTATTACAAAGCCCTCTGGGTCTGAAAAGAGGTAAAAAGATTCAGGTTTTTGTTTGGCTGACTATGTGAGCCACGGGTGCCGAAAAGAATAGTGACAGTTGCTTTGTTTTTGTTCATCCTATGATAAAAGCTGCTCTGTATGTTGATGACAGTCTGAAATATAATGGAGGGGTTTTGCCATGTTTGTTGCATTACATGCTCACCATGTACAGCTTTTTTGTGTCAAATCAGTATTTATAGATTTAGAAATATATGATACTTCATGCTTTAAAAGACTGAAATAAATAAGCATCTTGTTGCCATCGTGGAAGAGGTCCTTGTTCATACTTTGCATGCAGAAATGTATTCACTCCCTTTTCCCTTTAAATGTATTTGTAGCATTCCTCTGCCTGACACCATGACTTTACTGGCTGGTAAACAACAGGTGGTTGTAATAAAAAAGGGTAATTGTAATCAAATGACAGCCAGATGTATTCAGGGTGTCATCCTAATAAAAAAACACATTCAGCACCATGAGTAACCTTGTTTTGATAAAGTATGAAGCCGTAGCTGGTCATCATTGTCAGAGATGGAGCCCCAGAAGACCTTAGGTCACTTTGGAGAGGCTGCAAGATTTGGATTTAAACGGTTATTTGTGCTAATGAAGGAAATTTATTGTGTGTGTGTATTTGTGGGTGAATGTGTGAGCTGTGAGAGTTGTTATGGGAGGAAATTAGAGGATGAGTGAGTTTAATGAGAGGGCAGGAGGTTGTGCAGAGTTCTCAATTTGAATGACATTGAAGTGTAAATATAGCCATTTGAACCTATAGTGAGAGGGTGTTTAATTTCAGTACATAAAAAATAATAACTCTTAATTCCAGCTTTAAAATATACAACCTTCTTCCAGGACACATCAGTGTGACTGTATTGGATTACAAAGTGCTCTCAAAGCATTTTTCTACTGGAGTCCAAGTTAAATTTATGTGAGTGTTAAAGCAAGGCCTGCTTGGTTCTGCCTTTCTCTGTTTTTATTTTATTTTACAGGGCAGTAGGTTACTATTCAACTTTTTAGAAAGTCATTCCAAGTCTCAAATCAAGTCTCAAGTTCTCATTTTTGGGGCTTAAGTGGACAATAGTCTAAATGTCAAACCACAATCCTACAATAAAAAAAAAATATCCCTGATTTTATATTCAACATAATCCATCATAAAAAATGGGTGTTGTAGTAAAGCAGTATATGGGACTACAACAAAAGTATGCACACATACAGACAACATTTGACCTTACAATTTCTCCTTTTTAGTTTGAATGAGACGTTTTGCTGGACTCAAAGGGCAAAAATTGGGCTCTTTTGTTGCAAAATTATGTGAGTTTAAAATTCTGACTGGCACTGGAAGTCTACACTCTTCCACACTCCCCTGCAAAATTCCCATCAGTGTATGCTTTCTCGCCCTTATTCTACTCCTCACAGCTTTCTCTCTACTAAATTAAAGAGGATTGCAGTCAGCAGTCCAGAAGCAGCTGATAATCACTAAACAATTTAACCAGTTTACGAGTGAGAAAGTTTAACTTTTTCCCTGAGCTTCTCTATTCTTACTCTGCAGTTTCTATGAGAAATTGGGGGTTTATTGTTAGCAAGGCCCAGTCGTTCCTGGGGCTGCGGTCTGGCCTTCAGCTCTGGGGAATACATTAGTCCGTCTACAGCAGCTGGAACTTCAGAAGGGAAATGGGGGAAAGTGCTATACTCACTTGTTCCTGTGCAGCGAGTTTTGGGGGGGGGGGGAGAGAGAACAGCAGGGAGAGAGAAAGAGGGAGAGATGTGGTCAAGGCCTGGAAAACGTATCCATACAGTATGTCTGGAGAACTGCGAGTTAATAAGCTAATGAGTGCACTGTGTGATGTGGCAACAGCACAATAAAGATATATGTCATTGTGCTTCAGGTTTTGAAAGATCTCTCAATAACCTCATTCTCTTACTCAGAACTTGGACACGTCACATTATCTTAGAAATGCATATAATAAATTGGATTCATTTAGATTAACTTGGAAAGACTCACTCTGGCTTTCAATCTTGCTGCTGGCTTGCAAAAATAAGTCAGTATGATTTATTTCACCATGATGACTTATACTGACCCCCCCCCAGACTTGGAAGTCACCATGCCGTCATTCAAAACACTCATATGCTCTGTACTTGGAATTTTCCATATCAATCCAGACCATTTTATGGAATGGACTGTGCAGTCATTAACCTTGGGTTATTTAGACTGCAAATGCAGCTGAATGCAGTGAACCTAATGTTGTGCTGGCCGAATGTGTCCCATAGGGTGCCATTTAGTTGTGGACGTGCGATGCAGACCCCTTTAGGCTGTTCTTCCAGTGGTTACAATGTGTTACAAAATCCTCCAAGATGCCCATCTTGTGGAGAAAACATGATGAATGACCCTCTGAACTCCCTTTAAGAAATCATGTCACAGGGAACTCTGGGGTCCCCTTAAGTGGAGAAAACATGGAAGGACCACTTCAGGTGCCCTTTCAATGGAAAAAAAAAAGCAATGCATTTTCTGTGGCAAATAGTAAGCATTTTGTTAGCTTAATACATTATTTTAACGCGTACCAGAGAAAGCTTCAGTTAGCTTCTGCTGTCTCTTATTGAGAGAGTAAAGAGTAGCAACTGCAGCTAAACCTGCTACCTGTGATAACGTCATTCCCAGTAAATGTGTGATTTTCCTTTAGAAGCTTTTCTCTTTAAATTCCAAGAAATAATCGTAAAGCACGCTTTGATAACCGAGTTAGTTTTATATACAGTATTTTTTATATGGAAATATGTGAAATCTGCAAGCTACAATCAATTACTGCAGTCCAAAAAAGATGAGCTGATGAGTATATTCATTAGGAATGTAAGGACTTATTCTTTAAAGTGGTGAATTAGCCCCCATTGTTAACCACTAATGTATGCTAGAATTCTGATTGTTTTTCAAACACCATGAGACATTGGCACTTTATTTGTCATTGAAAGCATGCAGTCTCATTATGTTTTGAAGCTTACCAGCTATTGAAAAAATAATGGCATTTGATTGTTTCAGTTTGAGGATCAAGTCCCTAAGAAAGGAAATGAAACAGTTTGAAGTGACTCTAATAACAGTGTGGCATGGAAAAGTGGTCTCATGTTTCCCATAAGGTCCCCCCCCAAAACTAAAACACTTTTT